GCCCCTCGCGCAAAATTCCAGTTTGCGAGCGCAAATTACTGCACGCAAAATTGGATCTTGATAAATCCGGCCCTAAATATAGTGCAAAATCTTCCAAAGTCTCCTCACTTTACCATTGAAACAGATTAATTCACATCTACTCCAGCTGACATGTACAATTTGGTCTATTTAAAAGATTAATTTCTGTATATATTAAAAGATGACACGAGCAATAAATCAGTAGTATATCTGACCTTATTGAAAACATTTGTTCTTAGCATGTATCACTCCAAAAGGGACTGCTTTAAAAATTATTTGCTTAGTTGAACTAATTAATATATCTGTAAAGTGATCATTATCACATACAAAGACTATATTATGTGCAGACATGAACATAAAAAAACGGGATAAATTGTTTTGTTGCACCGATACCAGTATCGGACAGGGCCCCGATCCAGCACTAAAATGGTTATCGTTATCGCTGAGTACCAACAAATAGGGCACAGATACCATTTTAAGAGCAAAAAGTTTATTCAATTATTGTAACCCATTTCAGGTAGGCAATAAAAAGTTCTACTGGATTCACTTTATTAGTCTTTTTCCTGCTTCACAAAGGTAGCCAGCAGCTTGACAAAGCCATGATGGCAATTATTCTACATCCAAGTAGTATGCAGTTCTTCATATATACACACACATCAATTTCAAACAGATAGTATCAGTATGGTATCGGTATTGGCCAATATTGCACAGCCAGGTATAGGGGATCGGGGCCAAAAAAATGGTATTGGCACAACACTAATAAATGGTATGATTATTTTTCATTATTTTTGTCCTAAAAGCCATTAACCCAAATCTTTTTTAGAACGGACCTGCCAAGAGCACCGGATGGAAAAGACGACTCTTTTAGCACCTCTACAGTGAGACTGGAGCAGGAAAACATGTCCCTAGAGTGTTTTTGTAGACTTGGAGCCCACTTCGCAGCATTCAATGCAGGTCCAGCAGATTCAGCAACAGCTTCTTCTTCACTTCCATTAGACAGCTGAATGTTGTATAAAATTGGGTTTAAAAAAATGCGCTGAATGTTGGAAAACTGTAAATCACATACCAGTCACATTTGATCACCGTGTTTACATTTTGTCACTGCTGCACTTTAGGTAATGGAAATGCGTTGAGAGCTGTACTGAACGAAATTTCGTTTTGTATACACCCAAGGTTTACAAAATGACAATAAAGTCTGTCTAAGAGTTCAGGGGCGGAGCTAGATGGGTCGCCAGGGGTGGCCATGGCCACCCTTAGCCAATCATTGGCCACCCCTAACATTTTTTTCCCTCTAATACAGATGGTGGCAGCAGTAATATTCTCAAGTGGAATATTTAAAACATTTAAATTTTTCATATAATACTTTGGGCCGGATTTATCAAGATCCAATTTTGGGTGCAGTAATTTGCGCTCGCAAACTGGAATTTTGCGCAAGGGGCTGAACCATG